GGGGGGGGTGATACACTTTTCCTTGGTTTGAGAAACCTACTACCTCCATGTAGAAAAATGGAATCAATATTTTGAGATTCCCCCCTCGCCTAGTCAACCATTTAAAGAAACCGACTGCGACACCAGACGACTGTATTTAGACCAAATTAGCCGCATGAGCAGACTAATCTGTAGCAACCTTATTCTTAAGTCTCAACAGACACTCCTATCTTTCTCCATCATTTCCAAAATATCTACCCACTCTCTCTTCCCCCCACCATTGTTCACAGTTTAAAGCTAAGATAAGTTCAACTTGCCTTGGACACGCACCACTAGCTATCCTATAATCACCAAAAGTTTTACCATGACCATTACTGTCAATCATTTCCCTCCTAAACACTCCAAAGAATTGAATGCAACTCTTGGTAATGTAACTGAGCAAAGGCGCACGTTCACTAAGACTGGTCACTGAAGTAAAAAGGATTCAAAGCATTGAATGTAACCTTTGGTTGTATCCACGGAATAACAAGAGATTAAGTGAAAAATTCTCAACCAAAACTTCTACCCATCCTATGACCAGTGTTGACTAGCAGTAGCAGATTGCATGAATACCATTATCAATTGATTAAAGTGGGGTTTATCAATGATGTCAACAAGATACAATAAGTGCTCTCTTGAAAACTGAAAGGGAGATCAGATATTTAGCAGTAGAGATTTCTAGTATATATACTTTCTAAACTTGTGGTATTTTTCCAGCAAGCACTGTAAACGCTCATCACGGGCTCGATCTTCCAAGACCTACAATAATGGACAAGCAATTCAGTCAAAGAAATGGAGATGATCATGTAAGTCTTCTCTTTTCTTGTTCTTTGCATTTTTATTTGTGGTGGATTGGCTTGAAGGGAGGATACAAAATGTTGTTCATATGAGTTAGAGAAAAAAAATGCAGATTTAAGAATTACTCTAAAAGCTTCATGATGCAGCTTACCTCGACAATTTGCATGACATCATGGTTGGCAGCCAAATCTTCTGAACCTACAACTACCTGAATAGAAATCAATTTTAAGTCAAAAGGGAACCACAACAAATTTGCAAATATATCCCAAAGAGGTGAATCAGACCTTGATTGGATGAGGATCCATGAATTCTTGAGCTAATTGATGAACAGCCGGAGGCCATGTAGCACTGAACATAACCGATTGTCGAACTGCACAATTAGAGGGAAGTTGAATGTGTTCAGGAAAAAAAGCATGTTTACTAAATTGAAACTCTATTTAGCTAACATCTGAATGGCAAAAACAAGGAGTGAAGCCCTACGATGCAACATGGAAGGACAAGGATAGCAGTCAAAAAATGCATATCCTTATACTCTAAGTAGCGCAGACTCTTCGCTTTTGGTGCGGTACCTATGTTGACACGATGTGGGGGTGGGTATGGGATCCGTACCTGATTTGGTAAACCGATTTTGGGTACTTTGAACAAAATCGACGGAGAAATTCGGGATAAATAACAATGATTTTTTAAATCAAAACAAAAGCTAAGGTGAAATTGGAAAAAATAGAGATACCTCGTATATAGAAATTTTTATGTCCGTTCTTTTCCTTTTATCTCCTTTTGGGATTCTACTCTTGATTAATATTTTTGTCCTTCTTGGAATTCTTTGTAAGTTTTTCACATAATGTCTCATAACTTGATCATATTTTTATTCCTCTAATTTTAGATATTTGAATTATTTTTAGCCGAACCCCCCACCCCCCACCCGTATTCGTACTTGGATCCGTACCCCCGAATCTTAAATTTTAGATCATGAAGGATCCAACCTCTAGATCAGCACCCGTATCGGATACCTGCACCGAGTCCGAGAAACTTAGATAATAGTTACACGATTCAAATTTTCAAAATCCCTTTTCGATTGGTATTAAAAATATCTGTAGACATACATAAGAAATGAAACCAAAAATCCACTCTAACATATAGCTGCACTTCATTTACAAAAGTATTGAAATGAAACCACAAACTACATGGTCGGGACAAATATATGTTTATGAAGAAAAAAAAGTTGATACTTGGAATAAATACAATAAGTTGTGAAGGACATTCAGATGCAAAAGTTTTGCTAAAAAGAAACAAAAAATATATTACGACGTGATAAATGTATTTAAAGAAATAATGCATTTAAAGAAATGCCTACAGAGCTCCAGCCTCTAGGAATTCAAGAAATGGAATCAAATGCAGATGTTGATATTCATACCAGAGCATGTTTGGCTCAAAATGGCACGGACAGCAGGTTCAAAACCTAAATCGAGCATCCGATCAGCTTCATCTAGCACCTATAGCAATATTAGTAACATGAATAAACACTAAAACTTCTAGTGTCAGCAACCATAATATTTCATTAACCCAACAAGGATAAACTCTATCTTAACCAATCAAGGGATAGTACATAAAACTGATTAAAATGCTAAACCACAAAAGATGATTTTAAAAAATAAATTCAGTTTCTCTTTCAAAGAAGACCAACATGCACAGATACCTCACCTCAGAAAGCTCATATTCAACAACTTCAAAAATCTAACTAATAAGGAAAATAATATAAAAAACATTTCTTATACACATTCAATGGCCACAACTACAGAACAGAAGCATCCTAACCATCTACACCTAATTGAGCAAACAAACAAACCTTCATGAAGTCGTGGATACTCACTCAAACTTCATCAAAGATCCTGAAAGTCCCAAACCCAGATAAACGGAGGACAGGAAAACACTACTCACCACAAAAGAAACCGCTTTTAAGTTGCATGCTCCCATTTCCATCATATCCTGCAAACGACCAGGGGTTCCAATAACAATATCCTGCAAGGCAAAGAATATGATCTGACGTACTGACAAACAACTCCAGCTCAAAGAATCAAAGGTGTGTGAACCATGCATAACATCCATCAAAAAGTCAAAGAAAGCAACAAAATAAAACATTAAATTGACTTAAAAGATAATTCCCTATAGGATAACTGAAAAGGTTCATCATCTCGAGACTCATTGCAACAATAAATACAGATACAGAAATAAGAATGTTCTTACCACACCAGATTTAAGAGAAGCTTTTTGATGATGCTTATCGACTCCACCATATAGACAAACTGACTGCACACCAGTAGGCTTCCCAGCATCGCAGAGAACATCTGATATCTATTATAATGACATAGCAAGATCTTTCAAATAAGGTGCATTTATTCGCATCAGCATTTTTTATTTGAGAATACAAGGCAAAATACACATATTATTTTAACAAGAAAAAGAAAAGAAACTGCAGGATCTAGAAGATATTTTAGTCAGACACTAAAAGGCATCTAGAAATAAAACCAACATAAATTAGCATCAGCACAATGACAACATAAATTAGCACCAACATAAATTAGCATCTGATATCTATTATAATGACATATAGCAAGATCTTTCAAATAAGGTGCATTTATTCGCATCAGCATTTTTTTATTTGAGAATACAAGGCAAAATACACATATTATTTTAACAAGAAAAAGAAAAGAAGCCGCGGGAGTCAGACACTAAAAGGCATCTAGAAATAAAACCAACATAAATTAGACCTTTTCTGCACCTCCATTATGCATAATATGTGCTTCCACACTACCTAACCTTCTCTTATAGAGCTCATGTATCTCAATCAACACAAACTTGCTACTTCATTCTTCAATCCATGTCTCTTCAATGAACGCCAAAGAATCATAGCTTCTTGAAACAAGAACAGAAGGGAAGGAAAAGAAAACACACTTATAATAGAGGATCTCCTAGTCTTGGCTAGCTTACTAGAAGGAAGAGAGTGCTAAACCCTCTCACAAGATGATACCCTATTTTTATCCATCCCTCACAAGATAATACCTTTCCGGGTCTTTTGGCTATGATCAAGTGCTAAACCCTCACCAGAAACTGAAAAACAGAGATGATTTTTATGGCCTACGTTCCAATATTTTAGCAGTTCTCCAAGGAACACAAACAAAAAAAAAAAAAACTTAAAGCTTAAATCAAAAATGAAATGAAATGGCTTTTTATCAAATTTTGATTCAATACATTGAAATTGACATTATATAAAATAAATAGAATGAAGTAGAGATGGACCTGATAATGATACTCAAAAGAAGCACTTCAAAACAACAAGAAACTCCAACCACCACTAGAGCTTTCAAACAAAAATTATATACCCTAATTTTTTTCCCCAATATTTGTGAAGTTGAAAACAAAAATATACTCCCTCCGTTTCAATTTATGTGAACCTATTTCCTTTTTAGTTCGTGCCAAAAAGAATGACCTCTTTCCCTATTTGGAAACAATTTACCTTTATGCAATGATTTATAACCACACAAAATATATGTGCTTCATTTTACACCACAAGTTCAAAAGTCTTCTCTCTTTTCTTAAACTCCGTGCCCAGTCAAATGGGTTCACATAAATTGAAACGGAGGGAGTATAAGATTTTGTCTATGGTTTTGGGATGGAGGATTTCCAATAAAAGAGTACAGTAATGAAAATTTCTAGTGAATGATTTGTTTTGTATCTGAAACTCGTACTCTACTCTTTTATTACCATATAAAACAACGAACCCAGGACATTTAATACCATATAGTTAAGATTATTGTGATATATGTTTGAACAAGATTTCTTTGGAGGTTGAGATTGAAGTATCTACTAAATTACGCATACTCCATTTTCCCCCTTTTAAGTTTCAGTAAACGAATGTATTAATAAGTTTGAATCCCGTTCCCCTGAAATATTGTCCTATAAATATCACAAGAATATCTGAGAGCCATCTAATCTATTTCATTTTGTAGTAATTATATGATAATAAATGAATCATTAACTCAAAAAATTTCTACAGACAAAACCTTATATATTTTTCTGCTTCAACCTCAAAACCATAAAAGATACAAAAAGACATATATATAATATATAAAAAGACATACATAAAACATATATATATGTCTTTTTGTATCTTTTATGGTTTTGAGGTTGAAGCAGAAAAATATATAAGGTT